TAGCATTAAACTTACAGGTCAATTTCGATATAAGGGATATTGACTATATCGAATCTTTTAGTACATAGACACGATTTGTTTCCCCATTTATTGGGGCACTTTTTTAGTTTTTTCATTAATATTTCATACTTTTCAAAATACAGATTCTCAACATGTTTTGCTAGTTTTCCCTAAATTTTATTTTTTTGGGGGGAGGTACTTTTCATAAATGCTATTTAAATTTTTTTTTTTTGCTTTTTTAAATTTTCAAGTAATATTTTAAAATGTTTTTGTTACTGATTTTTACTATGATTCCATTCTGGTCAGAAACACATTGTATAGGAATTTTAGTTCTTTTAAATCTGTTAAGTTTCTGCTTTTGTATTTTGTTTTCCTGGCCTGTGATATCTGCTACCTTTGTATGTTCCATGAGCACTTGAAAAGAATGTGATTCTGCTCTTGTTTAGTGTAAGGTACTATAGATAAAGTGGCATTGTTGAGTCCCTCTGCATCCTTGATTACTTTCTTCCTAGCTGTTTTACCAAATTTTGAACAACGGATATTGAAGTTTGACTATAATTATAGATTTTTGTTTGTTTGTTTGTTTTTAAAATAATTATTCATTTTTTATTTATTTCATTGATTTTTTTAATTTGACCAGAGAGAGACAGAGGGTGAGAGTGAGAGAGAGAGGAAGTGAGAAAGCAAGCCACCAGATTCAGGACCCGAATCCCAGTCGGCCATGTGGGAGAGTCCAGCACCTTAACCACCACACCACCTGCTGGTCCCAATTATAGATGTTTTTATTCCTCTTAATGTTATCAGTTTTGCTTCAAGAATGTTCAAATTCTGTTAAGTGCACACTTTTTTGAGGTTTGATCATTTTATCAGGCTGTAAAGTCCCTCTTTTATCCCTGATAATTTTCATTGCACTGAACTCTATTTCATCTATATTAATATAGCCACTTCATCTTTCTGTTCATATGTTTATTTTTAAACTATCTTTATTATATTTCAGTGAGTTTCTTCCAGACAATATGATGCTGTGTCATGTTTTTAAATCTGACAATCTCTGTTGTAATTGGTGTATTAAAAACACTTATATTTAGTTTAATTTTTAATATGGCAGGACTGGGGGTCTACCATTTTGTTATTCATTTTCTGTCTTTATTTCCCTTGGCTTTTTATTGCTGTTTCCCATTATATGCCTTCCTTTGAGTTATTTGGATTTTTTTCCGAATTTTAATATTTTTCTGTATAAATTTCTAGCGATTTCTCTAGGAATCACAACATGTATATTTAATTTTCTATAATCTAATTGGAATCAGTAGTTGACTACTTTAATTGGAATACAGACCCCTTCCCACCATGCAGCTCCCAGTTCTCTCCCCATATAGTCTATAGATGTCTTGCATATCTGCATATCTATCTATCTATCTATCTATCTATACATATATATACATACATTGAAAATGCCATCAATGACATACTTTTGTTTTTAACTCTCAAATGTATTTTGAAGCACTCAAGAGAAAAACAAATAACTTATTATATTTATCCAGATGGTTTATTAGATATACTATTTTGCGGCTCTTCTTTCATTCATGATATTCCATGCTTTCTTCTGGTATCATTTACCTTCTATATGAAGAATTTATTTTAGCCATTTTTGGTTTTTGTTTAATTTCATGTGCTCACTATAAAGAGACAGACAGGGAGAGGGAGCAAGATAGAGAATGTGAAAAAGCACACTCCCAGGGGGTCAGCCACACTGCAATCCCTTCTCTTCCATTCTCATCTCAGGAATTTTGCAATACACACACAAGTGCCCAATGTTTTCCAAGTCACCGGATCTGGGACTGAACCATGCAACTGGCCATGTGGTCTCCACCCACCAGAACTACCATGCCACTAGCAGACTCTACTTTAGCAGATTTTTATTGCAAGTCTGCTGACTAGAATTGTCTTAGTGTGCCTTATGCTGTAATGATACACAGTAATTGAATATAAAAACAACAATTTTAAGAAATTAAAAGAAAAAAGAAATTTTCAACTTTTCTTCGTTCTAAAAGACCATTTTGCTAAATGTAGAAATGTAAAGTTCCTTTTTTGACAGTTACTTTTATTTTAGCACTTCAAAAATAGTATGTCACTTTCTTCTGATCTCTATGGTTTTTGATAAGAAATCTATAGTCATTTAACTTTTTATTTGCTTATAGGTAATGTCATTTTTCTCTTATTCCTTTCAAGGTCTTTTTTTTTTTTATTTTTTTTGTCTTTAGTTTTCAGCAATTTAATTATAATGAGCCTGAGTGTGAATTCCCTTGGACTTATTCCATTTGATTTATGAGCAGCTTCTTCTGTATGTTTGTATCTTTTTCAAAACTTAGTAAATTGTCAGCCATTATTTCAAACTGTTTTTCAGCACCACATTTCTTCTTTTGCTCTTACGACATAAATATCAAACTGTTGTTGTCCCACAGGTTCCTTGAGGCTCTCTTGAAATTTTTATCAAGCCACTGCAACTCTCACATCCATACAAATCCTTGTCTGACTTGAAACCACCTCTAAAGATTCTTTTACATCTTGCAAATTTTACTTGTGTTTCTCTCATTGACAACCTCTAACCTGAAGCCTAAAGAGAAAGGAATTCATAGAAAGGTAGTTTCTGGCTTCAGCTCTATGGTATATTTAAAATAGACTTTTTCAAATACACTACAGTGTATGTTAAATACACTGCTTTGGTAGTATACCATGGCAACTGAAAAGTCCCACAAAGAGGGGAAAAATTCAGTATGGCCTTACTTACTCTGTACCATAACAATTCTAAGAAGCAATGGAGTTGCTAAAAAAAAAAAAATGGCTAGACCACCTGTGATGTCATGGGGGAAGGTCCCAGCTTCATGTCCCAAGTTCTCATATTCATGAATCACAGCATGAAAAACTTGTTGGAGATGCCATTGTCTTTCTGTTTCTGTCTCTGTCTCTGTCTATCTCATAGAAGAAATAAATATACTTTTTAAAAAAAAGACATTGGGGTAATTTCTATATACTGAATGTAGTAAGTCCTAGTCAAGAATTTATATCTAGCCAGACCAAACCTATTATTTAAGTATGTGCAGACAGTGTTTTGGGGAGCTTGCCGTAACTGTGATACCTAGTGCTGAGGGGCACTTCCCCCTAGAGGATGGCCTTTGCTAAAAAAAAGGAGGAAATGAATGGAAAATTTTCAGTGAAAGCAATATTTATAAGCATTGAAATTTAATTATTAGACCATAAATAAAACAAACCTGAGGATTATAGTTACAAAACAAAATGTACACGTAATAAATTCTGGCAATATATGAATGATATAATTAATAAAACTAGGGAAAAGAAAAGTAGAAAACATGCATATTTCTTCATCATTATACCTAGTTGATACGTCAAATCATAGATGTAAGCAAATTTAAATATATTTAAATAGTTAATGAAATGCCGAAGTAAAAGAAGGATATAATCAATGGAAATTAGTAATGAGAAGTGAAGGACAATGCAGAGAAGGAACATACTGTTACATCATTGCTCCTACTTGGTGATCAATATACACACACACACAGAATGAAGAGAAAATAACAGCTCTAATACAGAAATCAGTATATAAAATATGAAGTAAGAAGCACAGAAGGCTAAAATAACTTCAAGATCAGGAGGTCAGTTCATTTTCAAGGTCCTTGAAGAGTGAGTCCTAAATTTCTTCTTAAGGGAATCTCATTGCAAGACAAAGCCCTTCGATGCTACTGAGCTCTTTATGTGTGAGAACCAAATTATCTTGACTCCTCCACCTAGTGGAATTCAGGAATAGTTGTTTGCCTTCTCTGCCCAGGTGAACAGAAGCAAGAGACTTTATTTTCTGAAAAGGATTATGATGTCATTGGACTACATAGCTTAAAAAGCAATGAATGCCAGGCAACAGGATTAATTTTGCCATTTGGAAAAGAACTTCTGAAAATAATTTAAAAAGGAATGTGAAGGGCCAGCTAGTAGCATGGTAATTAAAATGGTTAGATTTCAGATGGTCAGTTGCATGATTCAAGTTCTGCACCTGGCAGCTTGAAAAGAACATTCAAGGCACATGTGTATATATGCCCAAAACCCTGAAAAGAGAGATGGAAGAGAGGAGATTGTAGCGTGACCATAGCCCATGGAGGTGCTTTCTTACTTTCCCTTTCTCTGTCTTGCTCTCTCTCATCAAGTGCACACATCTTCTAGCAAATGTTAAAAAAAAAATAATAACAATAAAAATAAAGGAAAGTGAGTAGATTTAGGAGATTAATTTGGAGTAATTTGGGAATATGGGGGAAGACAAATTAAAAGAAATGTAGAATCCTAGACAGTCAGAACTGGAATAATAGTCATTATTATTAAAGAATGATAGTCTCGGGAACCAGCAGTTAGTGTAATGGCTATGTCGCTGGACTCCCACGTAGTCGACCACAGTTCGTGTCTCGGACCTGGTGGCTTAAAACTCACGCCGGGCGCGTGTGCGTGCGTGCCCAAAATCCCAAGAGGAGAATGGAGGAGAAGGGATTGCGGTGTGACCATCCCCCCTGGGGGGTGATTTCTCACTTTCTGTCTCTATGTCTCTCTCTGTCTGTCGGGCGCGTGCACGCGCCCTATAGCAAAAACCTCTCCAAAAAAATAAAAATAAAAAAAGAATGATAGTCTTTAGAGGACAGAAGCGGAATGACTTATATAAGGTAACACAATGATTTAGAGCTAAATTAGTACTAGAATTAATTATCTTCTTATTCCTGTATTTTCATACTCTCTCTAGCAGATGAGACTGACTTTTATTAAAAGAGAATACGGGGTACTTCATGACTGGGCTGGCTGTTGGTTGGTGGGGAGAGACATCAAAGATGATGGCATAATGTCTGAGAGCTACGAGAATGGTAGCCCTATTGTGGGAAGATATTATATTCTAGAGAAAGAAGAAATTTTATGTAATTTTTTTATGAAATTTCTTTTTTTTCCCCTAGGTAATGCAGATCGTGACCAAGCCATATGTATGTATTGTCTTTCTTAGTTCTTGAACAATTTAACTACTTTATGTGAAATCTAGCTTTCAATTGCTTCTTTATTTACAGATTACCGATTTTGGTATCCAAGGTGGGAAGTGCCCCGGCCAATTGTATGTGATCCACTGTGCATGTTTATTTTATCCCTGAGAACACTATGTTTCATAGTATGCGTCATCATTGTTTTCATGGTACAGCCTTATTTTCCAAATATCTTACTGGAACAGCAAATGATATTTACCCCTGAGGAGTATGAAATAGAGGCAAGAGAGGAAGAAGAAAACGAAAATGACGAAGAAGAGGGAATGGAAATAGAGGATGAAGAAGAAAAAGAAGAAGAGCTTGAACAAGAGGAAGAGGAGGCACCAGAGAAGGAAGAAGAGCAAGAGAATTAAGAGGGAAAAAAAATGAGGAGGAGGAAGAGAGGGAGGATGTGTCACCAACAATTATAATAGAAACACACACAGAGAGCCAAAATTTAAAAAACAAAATACTGAACTTTAACAAGGAAGCAAATATACAAACCACTATTATGATATTATTTATTCCCTTGTGTTTCTTATGCTTATTCAACAAATTTAAATTTGAAACAAAAGCACATACTTTATAGTACATGTTAAGGGAAGCTCTTAGTCACTAAGGGCAGATAAAGATGGAATGATAGAAACACTGTAAAAATTTGACCAGTCTAATTTGTCTTAAAATTTTACTATGGTATCCTGATAAAGGAAGGAATTGGAATTTTCTAAATATGTTTCCATCCTTGTGCTTTTAATATTTTTAAGTGAGTTATTAAGTTTCTCAAGTACTGAATTATCTAAATTACTTAGACTATTCCAAATTTAGAACAACCATTTCATAAGTTTTTTTTGTATTTCTTATTACTATCATAGTGGTTACTGATAGTGATGGTGGTAGGATTTTCTATGTGATATCAAGGGATTTGATATCATTATTTATTTTTGTAAAATATGTTTTAGGGATAACTTAAGTGGTAAATATACATCCTGTTAGGAGAAAAATTTATTATTTCTATTTTATGTTCAACATTTTATTAAAAGCTTGCTGTAATCTGTTGCCATGAATGGCTAACAAATGGCAAAAAGGTAATTACTTGTGATCGAGCAATCTGGCTGCTTCCCAGTGTATTCATGATAAAAATAAAATAAATCGATAAAAAGTTATTTACTTGTAGTTGTTTAATATGTATAATAGAAGTTCATGAATTAATAAAATAAGTTTACTTACCACTGGTAATACTAATAAATTAATTGAATAAAACTACATTATACCTAACATAGCAAAATATGTCAAATTTTATAAACTTTAGATTTTAGATTTATTAATTCGGTTGTGCTCATGTGTGTCAGTATTATATGAAAACTCTTTTCTTGGGACCAGCAGATAGTGTAATGGCTGGACTCTTGTAGTCCACCACGGTTCAAGTCCCAGACTCAGCCCCAAACTCACACCAGGTACATGTGCATGCATGCCCAGAATCCCAAGAGGAGAATGGAGAAGGGATTTTGGCAAGGCCAAATCCTGCCCCCAGGGGCAATTTCTCACTTTCTCTCAGTCTCTTCAACAAGCCCATGTACCCTATAGCAAAAAACTCTCTTAGCAAAATAAAACAAAACAAAAGGCCTATTCTTAAATGGAGCAGTTTTGATGAGAAAAAAAGTAAAATAAGTAAGTAAAATAAATATATAAAAAAAAGCCCTGAACTATACTCCTGGATATGAGAATTTTGAGGTTTTTGTTTATTTTCTATGCTTTGCTTTGTTTTTTCTCTAAGAGTTCTGCTTTGTAAAGTTTTTGTCATTATTGTTTCTGTAGAGTTAAACTCTTTTCTACCCTGCCTCCTAAGAAAAAGCCTTAAGCAGAGAAAAAGCATTGTTCTCTATAGTGATTCGATTGACTACTATTATTATACATTTGTATTCTGGTTTATAGTTTCCAAAGTGCTTTCACATCATTATTTGATACACAAAACCACTCTAAGGAGTGCCTCTGGTTTTAAAATGAAAGAATTGACCTTGGATTTTGTCTTGACCCGGGGGACAGCCGAACGGGTTTTCTGAGTGAAGGAGTGAGAGCCGGGTCAAGCAGCGTAGTATTACAACACGGAGACGACAGTGTCGTCTGTTTATTGTGGGCAGCACGGTACAGCACAGAGACGACGCAGTGTCACAGCTCTTAAGGGTCGC